TACGACGAAAATCGGATGTAGTGTGAATCCAGCATAATATCGTTATAAGAGCGTTCTGAATACATGTCATAATGCATAAGAAAATGAACCAATCAAAGTTCTTTATTTCTTTCCTTTCCATGAAATAAAGAACTCTGAGCAAGCCAATGATTGCGATCAACAGAGAAAATTCAGTTAAGCCGGAATCAGACTACGCATTGAAGATTGAGGTTGAAGATTGAAGATTGAAATTTGACCAATAAGGACAAAGGAATTTTAGCTTCTATTGTTTTGATTGGTCAAATTTCAATCTTTCAATCTTCAATCTCAATGGCTGCGTTCAGCAGAACGTTTGTTTTGCAACTGTTGGAAGTTTCCTTCACGCTAATTGGATCATACTTTTAGATCTAGAAGAATGGTCCTATCTCAGCAGACAATCATAAAACGGTTGCAAAACTGTTGAGTCTGCTGAACGCAGCCAATCTTCAATGCGTAGTCTGATTCCGGCTTTAGCCGAGTTAGCGCTTAGCGATTCTTTAATACGATTGGTTCTTGCTTTTAGTTCTTCCCAAAATCTAAGTGTAGGAACCAATCGTATTAAAGACTCACTAAGCGCTGATTAGTGAGTCTCTGCTGAACGCAGCCAATCGTTCGATGAGTAAGCTACGTTCCGAAATCCATCGAAAAAAAAGTGTTGCAACCTTTTTGGCCCTGACCGTACCACTGGTATGTATGTATGCATATATGTGATGACGTTAGAATATGGCGTCTCGATCAGCTGGATGTTGTATAGAGTGTGTCTGCCTGCGATGCCTGCCGTCTCGCGAAAACTAACGAAGACTACCGTCTGCGTCCCACCGTGATACGTGAGTTCATCTCAACCACGATCGACGATCGCACGGTTTGGTTTTAGCTCGGCGACCGGTATACCGCGGAAAAAAGAGAATCGCAGCACGCGACGCGAGATTCGCGAGTGTGCGGACACGGCGACACGAGAAAGAGAGAAAGAGAGCGCTCGCGAACAGAGCGAGACGCGAAGACGCAAAAAAGTGTACGCGGATATATGGTACCGGAGTATATACTCTACGGTGGAGCAAACAACTCGACACGACGCAACGGATGTCGTGCACGTGAAACACGCGTTCGTAGCACGTCCAGACGCGACGAGACGAGGTGTCCGTGCGCGAGAGTGTTCGACGTTCCCTCGAGGAGTCCCGACGTGGCCCCGTTCGTCCCCGTGGCACGGTCGGCTCGCCGAAGGAATGAGAAAGTAAAGTGAAGTAAAGCGAGGAGCGAGAGAGGGAAGAAAATGAGGAGAGAAAATCGGGTTGCTAACCCGCATCCCGTCGCGCTCCTTTTTTCTCCGCGAATCCGCGCGCGCGGCGTTCGATTTATCTTATATAATTCCCGCGAGTGCATCACGCCCCGCGAATGTCTATACGCGTGCGTGCGTGCGTGCGTATACTTACACACGCGTGTGCCGTGCCGTGTGTGGCGAGCGATGCCGTGGCCATTTTCGCGTTTGCCCCTCGCGTTTTGTAATCGTTATCAGCTCCATATTTGAATTCAACAAGTAATGCAGGTCGTCCGACCGTCGCGAATCCCAGGCGTGAATTCCGCGCTCCCGTTCCTCGTGCGACCGTCGGGAACGAGGACCGAGAAATCGGTCTCACGTGCTCACGTCGACGTTTGAAACGGATCGTTTCAGTGGCGATTACATCGCCGAAGGTGCGATTGCAACGGGGCGAGACCTTCGCGAAGGTCTTGCCAGAATCTCGCATGAATCTCGCCGGAAAATCTGTCGTGTATCCTGCAATCGGATGAAAATTACAAAAGTGAGCAAATTCACAAGTGTCGACCACGTAAGAATACAGTGTTTCACCTAAGAATATTATTCTTACGTGACGTTTCCATTCTATTTGAGGACCACGTTTTCTAGTGAAATGAAATAATACAGTCGAGTGAAAAAACACCTATATATATTCTTACATCGTAGGGTTGCCCCCAATAAAATTATAAATATTCTATTAAACTCGCTCACTTTGTAATTTTCATCTCTTCTCACAATACCGAATACACAATCGGCCCTCAGGATCTCGTCGATTCGTTATCAACCCCGATCGCACCGCGAAGAGGACGCGGACACGGAGTCCACGAGGAGCACGTTGTCGGAGGTGTGCAACGCAGGTGGACGCCATAGTTGTAAATTTCATGGGGTGGAGGGGGAGAGACATTCGGAACGTGGGCGCGAGTGATCGACAACGACGACGACGCAACGTGACGCCACGCCGCCGAAGATGACAGTCGGACGGATCGAGTGTCCGGTTTGAAGATCTGGTGCGCGATTCCGCGTGATAACGCCGGCCATTTTGTCGCTTATTAGTCGCGCGGACGGGATAAACAATCCCGTATGCGAAGCGAATTACGAATCTCGATGTCGTCCGCCTGACGCTGGCTGGCCTCGAGGCTGTTGGCTGTCGCGAGCGTGGCTCACATGCGCGGAGATTTTAATTTCACGATGCTCTCGTTCTCTGCCTCTATCTTCCTCTCTCTTTGCTTCTATCCTCGCGTCTCCGCTGCGCGGCACACCAAAAATAGAAAAGCGATCGGGCCCATTTCTTACTGTTTTCGCGGTGATTTTTATGTTGTAATATGATATATTGCGGCGGTTCTCGTGCGGAATTCCTAGGGGTTAGAATTACTATATCTGAATCACAAAAAAAAATAGAGATTACAATGTACACTTTTTAAAAAAAGATGATTCGAGGCGACGGAAGCGGGGAGGTATAATTTTTTATGCGTTAAATGTAGGTATTTAATAAAATAAAATTTCTGGAACATAATTTTGTTGACAATTCTTATTAAGATAAATTTGTAAAATTTATATTGTACTGTACATGTGTGACTATATTATATATATGTGTATACATATTCAAGTACAAGTTACACTTATTTTTGTATACAAAACATTATTAGAAGTAATAGTACAGTTTTTGGAGTTTTCGTAATATTTCTGTATACGAAATTTATATGCGAGGTTTACAAAAAGTAAATTTTTTTTAAATAAAATGCAGGAAAGATAAACCGATAACAGCCAATGTGGATATCAATGTGTAACGATAACGTGTTTATTACTCGCAGTAAATTACATATATAAAATACACACATTTCGATCGCAATTATAAAGTTTCCTTGTAAAATTCTTTACATAAGAAATAAAGGATGATTTCTCGTTTGCAGTGACTAGAAGACTCTATGCAACATGCCACCAGATAGGCCAGATGCATCGGGTATCGAAACTGACATAGAACTGATCTCGTCTCAGGATTATAATTTTGGTGAGAACGTCACGATGAACGATAAGGAAAAGGAGAATGCCAGCCTGCTGACCGACTCAAATTCAACCAATGATTGTCAAAGCGAAATTCCTAAATGGGAGAAGACTATGGAGAAGAACAGTCAGTCGGACGACGAGCTAACGTCTCTCAGTTGGCTACACCAGCAGAATTTACTTAAAGGTTTGGACATTTCGAACCCCTCCAAAAACATAAAGCACGAGAACATGCTGAACAATAACATCTGCGACGATATGGCAGACTTTTCTGAAAATACGAATTCTGTATCGAGCTTAGATGATAGTTTCTGTCCAGGTAAGATGAGTGTTTTTAAAATATGTAATGCATTATGTTTGCAGTCAAGTATTCTTACAATTTTTATATGAATTTTATCTTTTTCTTTTGTGATGCATCGATAGAGAATAATGGAAAAGCAAACGCGACATTGAATGGGAATGGACAAAACTATCAGCATCCTGCCAAGAATTGTCAAAAGTCCACGCAAATATTTCAAGAATCTGCGAAAAGTCATTACAATATTTCGCCAAGTAATCAAACGAAGATTTCTTTGAGCAACAATAATTTGCCAATGTCTAATCGCAACAAGCATCCTACCCATATACCATATGATCCTCATTTACACAGAAATAGCAAACCACCGTATTCATTCTCCTGCCTCATATTTATGGCTATCGAAGATAGTCCCGTAAAGGCGCTACCCGTGAAGGAGGTTTACGCGTGGATCCTGGAACACTTCCCATACTTTAGGAACGCCCCTACTGGATGGAAAAATTCTGTCAGACACAATTTAAGTCTCAACAAGTGCTTTCGGAAGGTGGAAAAAGCTCCGGTAAATATACAAAGTGAATTTTTAATCAAAGCGCACCGTAAGATTTTTACGGTAACTAAGAAAGTTTTGGCTGTACAATATCAACTAAAAGTATCAATTACCTTTAACGTTATATTATATCGTACGTTTATAACTTTATTTTTTTCTTTTTAGAATTTAGGAAAGGGATCGTTATGGATGGTAGATGCACAATACCGCCCAAATCTGATTCAAGCGTTGTCTCGCGCTCCTTTTCCTCCCCCTACGACCCAGAATTTGTCTTCATCGGAAAAGGTGCCTAGAAAATGCATAAATACACGTCTCCCAGATCCGGTTCTTTTTCCATACCTATCCAAAAGACTGGCGTCTAGCAATATTAATGATAGTGCAGAAACCGAGATAGATAGCGATGTTGACGCAGCAGCTGCCGCTATGCTTTCCTTCAAGCATGGACCTATCATTCTGAATCACAATAAAGGTACTGAATATGCATGTATGAACATGTATGAAATAAGCTTAGAAGCATATACTTCTAAGGAAATAATAATAAAAACAGAGTCCCTATCTGTATTTTGTTGAAACGGAGAGAATAGCAAAGACGCAGTTAATGCTCAAGATACTCGACAATTTATACTCATTCATTAATATATTTTTTAATGTAGATCGTAAACGAAAATTGCCGGAATCGGAAAAGTTGGTGCCTGTAATTACCAGGAGTTCCAGCGAGGACCATACTTATAGTTGTATCGCCTCGATAAAATTAGGAAGGTAAAGATATTAATTTTGTATGATAAAGATTACATGAACCAATAAATTTTACCGTTTTCCATTTCTTCCTATAGCAAACATTCAAACGAGGAAGAATTAAATCCAGATTTTGATGAACAAAGAAAAATTGCAGAAGGTGCGGATGCGCTTCTGAATCTGGCTGGTGTTAGTACAGCGCTAAATTACAGTAGAACACATCATGTAACACAAGGTATTAATACGGCATCTAAATCGGACGTTATTTTAAAACCAAAAAAACGTTCTACCACGAGTGAGTACTCGAGTACGTCTGAAAAAAGACGTAAAAGATGGCGGGACTGGGGAGAGGAAAATCGATACCTAAAACAAATTAGGGGTTAACATAGATACATTTTGTTACATTTTTCGAAAAGTGTACATTATCGAAAGCTTTCCACTTATGCGCGAGTCAGGAAAGCGTTTGAGAATTTTGCTATCTAGTAACAGGAAGGTACTTTCATTTTATAGAGTATTGTCAGTAAATTCCTTATTCATTTCTATAAACGTGTTTAGAATCAACTTTTACGGAAATTTCATTGTTCGGATTTCTCGTCGTAGACACACAAAAAACGCGCATATAAATTCTTCCATAACTTCTAGTTGTGCTAGTAAAAAGAAAAAGAGGGTTGTTGGATGCATTTCGAATTCATTGGTGTGGTTGCTCAGGGTTTACAACATGCTATATGCCAAAATACATTCGGTAGCACTAAACAACAAGCAATAATAGAGATGTAGTGTTAAAGAGATACTTTTTAAACACGCTGTTGAAACATGAATACAATTGAATAGTACATGGATATATATCAATTAAAACAATTATTATTACGTACTGAAGTAAGTAATAATAATCATTTTAGAACTGTTGTGAGAGAAACGATTATATTAAGTCATAGAGAGTTTAATTAATGATAAAGTTCTATATCAGTTTTTCCTTTTTTTTTGTAGATATGTATAGAGGCATAATCAACAACTGCTGTCACAATGTCTGTCCCAACAATAACGAGACCTCTTGTTTGCAAACCTAACGTGGCGATTTTCGACAGCCCGGTTTGATGCCCAGTGTTACCATATTTTTTATTTCAACGGGAGTTTCTAGTCTCGTTATTCTTGAGACAGGCTGCGCATTCAATAGAGAGAAAAATCGATAATATATTTAAAATGATTACACGCATACATATTTATATGTATATGTGTGTATATATGTATATAAAATGTACGTATATGTGCATGTATATGCAGATGTACACATTGCACACATCAAGCCCGACATACTCATTCATGCATATACAGTTAAACTTCCTGATTCTCAACCCGTGATGAAATAACTTTTTTGTTCTCCCTTCCTTATTTGAAAGCACGTACACAAAATGAAAATATCATTGCGCACGCATTGCGCTTATACGTGTCGATACCTCATTCGTCACTTATTCCACGTATGTGATAAAACGACGAATATAAAATGGTAAAAGAAGAGATATTCAATTGGTTAAGAACAGGGGAGTTTGATTGTACAAGGTGTTCCCAAGTTTGCGATTAGAAACGGTGAGAAAGTTCATGAAAAACTGAATTTTACAACAATTGCAAAGTTGCTTTTTCTGCTGAGCGCGACCAATTAACAGTAATTTCACATGCTATAGACAATTTAAAAAGAAAAGCATTACAAATATAAAACTATGATATTTGATCAATTATACATCGTAGATCTTAAATTCTTATAGTTTAAAAAAAATTATTGATCGCGCGAAAAAAAGTGTCTTTGCAATTTGGTTTTTCGTAAACCTTCGAATTGCAGCGCTTTCGCAAAATTGAGGGCACTCTGCATGTAGACACATCATGTGCATCGTTGCACATGTGTACAACATATGTGCCACAAACGTATTATCAAAAAAAAAAATTAAAAAAAGGATTGAGATACATTCAACCATTGGTGGAACCAACAGTGGAATTCTAATTCCACCATGCATTCAACATGGTTTTAAAACAAAGAAATGTTGTCATTTCACTGTCTTTTTCTACTCTCTTTGTGGCTTTCAAGATGATTTTGAACAGTGTTGTACATATGTAGAGACCTTTCTAATGTATCCACAGACCAGTTTTGGTATCCAATTGGAGACTGAATATTTAGTGATCGTGCTGAGATGTTAATATCGATTGGATAGAGATGAAAAATAGCGGTACATGGAGAGATAACCTATTTTTATAAAAAAAAACTATAACACTAAGAAGAGAGAAAGAAAGAGAGATTTGATAATACCTTGTAATTGTAAGATATGTAAGTGTGCTACGAAGACATGCAACAGAATATTAGGCAAACTGGTCTTGTATACATTAATATGTAGTTCAATATAGAGAGAACATATATTTTTACAGGGCGCTGCCCGCGTGATAAAGGTTCTTCCTAATAATTCGCTGGTACGCAGTTTATTAGCTTAAATATCACTCTACAAAGTATAAATATTAGCGATTCGAATGAGAGGAAAAAATCATAACTGTTGTAGCGCAACCTGATCGATTTTTACATATCAATAATACGTGAAACATACTATGACAATTTCGTAAATATATATTTGTTATTTCAGAATTCATTCAGGATTACTTGCGATGATCCTTTGATATATCACTCAAAGAGCTCATCGTTAGTATTATAGAGTGCTAGTTTCATAGAATAATTATGTGAATATGTAGAAAAAATTCAATTAGTGTCTTTTAAATTAATATTTGAATTTTGTTTCATTTTCATTAAAGCAGTAGATCAGCTGTAACAACTGGAAAGTTGAAAATCTTGATTATCCAAAATAGAAGATATCTTCTAAAGAGAATTGAAAATACAATTTATGTAATAAACAGGATGCGCTACATCAAATATATTTAATTGTGATTGTAGCTAGTCACACAGCTACACCAGAAGAAAATTCAATCTGAAGGTGCAAGAAAGAATGCCATGCTCAATATGAGAAATATTAAATCTTTGATAAAAGAAAAAAAAGAATAATATTATTTAAATAAAATAGAAAAAGTGCCCGAAAAAATTATAATTTCCAAAATTTTTATCCATCTTCTAATTTAAAATTATAAATATACTCCTTGTTCCGCATTATATAATTTACATGAAATTTAGCCGCATGCAATCTATCTTTTTTGTTTTTAAATTTTATTTTATTGTTATTATTTCTGTGATATATTGAAAAAATAATACGATATCGTTGTTATACTTCAGTGTATCCGAAGTTTTAGAATTCTATATATTATGTTTAGCGAGAGTGTTATATGTATACATATATATGTATATTTATATGTATATACATAATATATATGTATAAATGATTATTATTATTTATTAACTGGCATTCTTCTCACACCTTGAATACTCTACCCTGATATCGACCTTAAAATGAGCTGGCATCTTCAAATTGATAATCCTACGGAAATTTAATGTTATAGCTTCACAACAATTTGTTAACACATCCTCTTAGTCTAGCTCTCGTTTGCTACGACTGACTACATCTGTTCTTCCACATATAGTTAAATTCTAAACTAATCGGCTATAGAAAGTGAGATGCCATTCATCAATCATAATACAGTGTAGCTAATCGATAGGTTAAAGCGTAGATTAAATCGATTAGTCACAGTAATATAAAGCAATACACCAGTAAATCCTGACATTGGGCGAAATACTCTAGTCAGCCGGTTTCTTAAAGGGAATCATGGGCTCATGTGCAATGCATTAATCGCTGAGTCGGCACGACGAAGAGATAGACTGTTACTCTATAATTGCATTATGTAGAAGGAATAAGTATTAATATGGCAAATTTACTTTTCTTAACACGTAGCGTTGATCACTACACAACACGAATTCGCAAAATTTATGATTATTCATATATGTTATACGCGGGGTACATGCTATTATTACAACCGGCTGACAAGCGAAGTCATCCTATGACAGACACCAAAAACACAACAAAGTATGGAGCAAAGCAGATTACGATGTGTCATTGTAACTGACCAGGGACAATCAAAAGACATGATGTATTTGGTTTGCTTCCATTACATGATATCGTGCCAAATGCAAAATCCTTTGGGTTTGGATGATCAGAGATACGTTAATTTATATGTACACATAATATATATATATCTACAGATTGTATATTATAAGAATTTTGTTGGCGTAATATGTAATATTACAATTATATATATCATTATTATTATTATTATTACTCATTTTAGATGAATCATGCTGTAAAATGTTTGTTAAGTTTTTGATCTTGCTTATATATATCTTGAGTATATTTAATATTTTAGGCTGTAACTACAAGAAAATTTTATCTAATGAAACAAATGAAGAAAACAACAAAACTTGTTGATTATTTTATCTAACATTTCTTATTCCACATAGTAATTACAGCATATTTTAATATACATGTATATATAATATGGTACAATTAATTATTAGGAATATACGGCAATATGTTAATGTTGATCATACAATTTAAAAAATGATTTTAAAAGTACATATATTTTTAAAAAATAATAAATAATGTAGCTCCTTTTTTAGGGAAAACTTCGGAATGTTACGTTTAAATATTTTGATAGAATAAAACAAACATTAAGAATATAACATATAATATCGATAAAAAGATATTTATATAATAAATATATTGCGATCTATACATTCAAATTTAGAATAATACCCATGATATTGATTATTTAGATGAAATTCAATCAAATTAAATTATTTAAAAACGTCAAGTCAATATGTAAAGAAGATAACATTAGTATGTCACATTGAGATGTGATCGTCAAAGAATCATTTAATTGACTATATAAGAAACAAAATATACAGTTATTACAAAAACACATCATGCACATTTCACTATTTCTATAATCATAAGTCAGATATTGTAACCTAACTATTTGAGCATTTTTTTTCTATGAATTTGACTTTTATAACTACTTTTAAGTTCCACTTTCTCTTTCTTTATTATATTTGGAAGGTGTAGAACTAAATACATTCGTCATGTTTTCTTTCCAAGATAATTGAGCAATATCCCTGGACATCATCATTCTTTCGTTCCAAAGAGTTTTTTGGCTCATCGAAGTATTGTAACTATCTATTGTGTGCATCATGCTATTCATGCTATAAGTTTGATAACCAGTATCTTGAACAGAGTTTGAGGTATTTTGCTGCTCGAAAGCGCCAGACATTATATTACTCTGTTTATGACCTTTGCGTGAGAAACTTGTAATTTCCGGCGCAATTTTTAAACTAGTCTCATATTCTTTATCATTAAGTACGATAGCATTAGAGTGCACAGTATTACCAGATGAAATTATACTCTTTGTTTCCTCCATGTTAACAGAATCACATGCATTTGTTCTATCGTTATTTGTAATTATCCATTTACCATTGTCTTCGATACATTTCACATCATTTTCGCTATCAGACATATCTAAAACACATTTTCAACATAGTTACTGTTACGAGTATATTTTTTCTGTTTGTAACAGACATTAATACTACAATATTTTAACAGGAAAGATGATGTAATAAATATTTAAAATTTGTTCTTCAAAAAGTCGTATAACTATATGTTTAAACCTAATTTTTCTATATTCTTCACTTATTTAACTAAATTCTTTAGAATTCTAACTATGACACATATTGCAGGCGAGTGCATGCATTGAATTTTCCTTATAATAACAATGGAAAAACTATCCTTCCTATTTTATTAAAGTTAACTCTTTTTCTAAAGAAGTTTCAAGTGAAGATAAGAAAAATAAGAACCAAAAGAATGTATTTAAAAAATTAAGCTAAAACAAAAAGAAAATTTACCTAACGAATGGTCATTAATCGAACTTGAACTTTTTCCCTCGGCTGCATCGTTTGTGTTCATATCTGTCGCGAAATTTAGCCGAGTGGCCAAACTAGAGCAATGTTCAATTCTTTTGTACAACTTATTGTTTTCAGCGTTATGTATTGGTGAGATATTAGGCGATAAATTTTCAGATATTATTACGGAGGAACCATTGCTTTGCCGCCTAGTTTGTAACAGCATCTGGAATATATTATTTCGTTAATTTCAGCGATACATACAGGCTGTAATTGATCTTATTTACTGACAATGAGATGTCAAAGAAGATGTTAAAAAGGTAATGATTTTGGCTTCCAAAGTGACAAATAAAAGTAGTGTTTTTTGTAGTTTTTTAGTTATAAAAATTGATTCTGGCTTAAAAAAAATTTTTAATTTGTTGGGAAGTACTAAAATCAACATATGAAGCTAATATCACAAATTATTATTATTATTGAGTTTCACAAACATATTAATTCATGTTTTCTTGCTAATAAAATATATAAATGCTCTCATCTGTATTTGTTCATATTCTGCTTGAAAAAAGTAAAAAAAATTATTAAATTTAAAAGTAGAGTACACATTCATCGACGAGATTTTAAATCATGGATATTGCTCTTCCGTTGCAATAATAATTTGGCTATGCCCGATTTTGTCTAAAATCCATTTTTCTTAAACATTCAACGTCTATCAGAAATCTTCTATTTTACTCCAGTTTTATATTTTTCTTAACACACTTCTCATAATGATAACTTCTTATATACTTAATATCTTTGTATATTGATTTTAATATTTTCCCAACAAATTAAAATTGTTTGAAGATCAAAATCACATTCCACAGCTTAAATAAAAAAAAATTCCTTTTTACTTACTATTGTGGTACTCTTGCAAAATTAGTACTTTTTTAACATCCTTCTTGCTATTCTTATATACAGGAATTTTTTATCTAAACTTATTTTATAATTTTATATAATTTACCACATACCTTTAATGGAGTACCATGGACAAACATACCACTTTGAGGAGGGCTATATACTAACACCATAGATTCACTTGTTTTTACTGGTGACAATGACGTGAAACTTTCGTTGTCATTGACAGTGCTCTCGTCTTGACAGACAAATAATTTTCTTCTCAGTGAATTGTTACTCGAATTTGCATCGTCAAAATCTGCATTCTGTTCCTTTGAAAAAGACATAAGAATATTTTTATCAGATTTTTCTTATCAGAAGGATAATTAATATCAAGCTGCTTCCATTTTGACAGCCACTTTACACCAACCTGAGTAAAAGTGAAGAAGGGTTTCAAACTTTCTTCCACATCTTGAGGCAGCTCCAGAGGTAAAGACAATGTTGTCTGACTCCATGCTAAAAATAACGACGAGATAAAAAATGATTTTAAAATATTAAACTCAAATTTGTCTTACCATCTTTCGTAGATTTTGAAACTTCCTGGATAGAGTTGAAATAGTTCAAGGATCTACTCGGAGTGTCCAAAGATAAAAATGGTTTGTTGCCTTTCTGTTTGATGTCCCAAGGACTAGGAATTATTTGATTCTGCATAAAAAACCGATCTATAGCTGCCTGGGCTCTTATCTCCAATTCTGGCTCTGGAGAATACATTTGCTGTATGGGAGATTCTTCGATCTTTACTGGTTTCATGTGAGCCAATTCATCTATGTTCCACGTAAACTCTGGTGACTGTTGCATAGGGCTGGAGACCTAAATATTGCAGCAATTTTAGCAATTAGCACTTGTCTCTCGGTAGAAGTACTCTTGTCAATCGAAGTACTCTTTAAGGAGCTTCAAGCAAAATGACCTTGGCGAATAGGGTCGGGCTGATTGCGGACAGGTGCAGTCGGTTAATCAGGTCAGGCTCGAACGGATTCTTAGTAATGAACTTCCTCAACTTGGGCGGGGGTGTAATATGATTCGGCAGAACAGCGAATGGCAGCCGTTGCGCGTTATTTTGATACGTTAGTCGCTTCAAGTGAGCGTTGTTTCGCTTCATCGGAGTTCCATACTTCCAGGAACTACAAGCTAAAGGACTCTTGCCCTTGCGCTCCTCGCTCGGCATATCCCGTTCTGCTTGTTCCATTACAAAACAAACAATTCGCACAAGAGACACGGATCCACTTTGCGTTCTCACCAATTCGAAATTGGAATTCTCCTGGACTCTTCAAAAAATTCTTTAACGACTTCAGATGCAAGGCTTCGGCATGTCGATTTCGATCTGTGCAATCATTTTACGGAAGTACACTTGCAGATTACAAATCAGAGCCTTCTTCTTCTTTGTCAGAACCCTTCAATATTTGATATTGTGGATTGAAGTTCCCCAACTTTTGAACATATCAGATTCATTTCAAATTATTTACACCATCGACGAGATACTATTAAAGACTATCAATCCTGGACAAATTTGGAGTGCGTTCCAAAACTCGACTCTATCAACTCCGAGTATCTTTTATCCTTGTTCAACATTTACTGAAAAACTTGGGTTAACAGAGTTGAGTTTCGGAACGCATTCTGTCACAGTGATGGCACCGATGGCCACTGATGGCACGAGCTATCGATAAAGCGACAAAGCAGTTGGCAAGCAGTTTTATACAGCATTTGATACATCACGTTTGTGTATATACGAGTTGTTCAAAGTTTCTTTTTTGCAATTTGAATAATTTTAGATTTTTTTGCCATATGCGAGAAAGAATCTCTAATAAACAATTCTAACCAAAGTGAATTCATCATGACTCATGTGATGTATCATTATTAATTTTCATATTTCGCGTTCGAGATGTATCGTAATAGTACCAGGTAATATCCCAAAAATTATAGTCGATTATAAAATTGAAGTGCAAGCGATAACAATAAAATGGCAGTGGAATTGTGGAAGTATATTTTATTAGTTGTTATCATAAATTCAGGTAATGACAAATTCTATGTTCTATTCAATCTTAATACGCGCGATTTAATTTTAGTAATGTCGTAATTATTGGAAAATTAATTTCCAGTGACCTCCGAAAGAATAAAGGACATGATATATATGCCCTTCGATGGTGTAGCTGCATGTTTCCGAAGACACAATGGTACACATCAGTTCGGATGTTCCTGTAAGAATCGAAATCAGTTGCTTCTTTGTTAATCATCAATCTCTTCTAAATCTTCAAAACCGATTATTTTAAGTTGCTTTACTGATATTGTGATATTCCAGCTAGTAGATCAGGAAGTGTAGGCGTAGTACATTTGGTGGAGGTAGAGAGTGATATTGCTTGGATAGAAAAGAACGCTACTGCCGGTCCATATACCGTGGTCCTTTCATTTGAGATGTTCAACAGAACCACGCTCCTAAGATTAAAAGATTCAAACAATATAAATGGAGTGCTGCTGACAAAAAATATCAGCTATGAGCGTCCGTTACATTATTCACCTGAAGACGAGTGTCCCAATCGATACTCTGGTTATAAGAAATGCAATAACAAAAAGCCATGGAATCCCTTTGGAAATGCAGTACTCATGGAAGATTGGCCATTTCCCATGTTTTACACAGAGGTTAGATCTGTACTTAATTAATTCGATTAAAGGCTATGCTATTACATACAAATTTAAGCAGTAAGACATAAGCAGGAAGCAAGTCAACATTTTGGATTTGTTACAGCTTACGTTATTGCCTTATGATGATTGGCCAATTTGCTTGCTGCTTACGTTTTTTTTTACTGTTCAAGTTTTTTTTGTGTTCCATAGCCTTTACTCATAGTACGCTAAAAGTCCATTCCGAGTTACACATGAAACGCATGATGTATCGTTATGTCCTTCTTTATTAATTGATAAACAAGGATAAATGATGCATCATGTGCTTCACGCATAACTCGGAACGCACCTTAGTATACTGGATTGGTGCATATTAAAGGCTGCTTTAGATCTAAAGTATCTAAATGCAGTGGTATAACAATCATTTTTACAATAAAATATACATTCTGTTAAGTAACATGATAATGTCATTTAATTATTTAAAATATTTATTTACTTTTACATTACATTTTATTTGTATACTTTTACATTTAACTTTGTTAATTTCATATAACAACTTTTGATATGCACTAATCTAAGATTTGTTCTGTTTAGCTAAACTTTTTACATACTTCATATTCTCTCTTTTCTTCTTCAATATGAAAAGAAAAAAAAGAGGAACTATAAAAAAAGTTCAACTGGGGTAAGAGAGAGAAAAGAACAGACATCCGAGGCCTGTTCTTTGTCTCTGCACTCTAAATTACTTGAAAATTTTCCAGCTTGCTTTCATAAAATTCTAAATATATATTTCATTTTAAATACAAGTGTACACTGGTTTAGCCACAAAAAAACAGACCTCTAGTATAATGCAACTTATATAAGTGACTAAATTTGCTATAAGGACATATTAATATAAATTCTATATGGAAGACGCGTGTTTCAAACAAATACTAAAAGTGTCACGTTTTCAGAATCAGACAGCCTTGGAGGCTATAAAATCTTGTTTCTGGATGCACAATGCGCACGATCTTGAAACACAATATCAGAGGTCTCTTTGTGCGATAGAAATGAAGTCATTCATGTACGCTGCCATTAACTCGGAATCTTGTATAAAGCGTACAGATTTAATATTGAATTTCAATCCGACACAGTTTTGTGATCCGCTTGGAGATAGAAATATACACTGGCCCTTAGCGCCTCTCGATGAGAGTAACAATACAGTAATAATAGTAACGGCACGATTGGATGCGTCGTCTTTATTCGATGGCGTGTCACCCGGTGCGGGTAACGTCGTAACAGGACTGGTTACTTTACTTGCCACTGCGTACTATCTGAATTCCTTAAATGCCACTGTGGACAGTACGTATTCATCTCTCTTCAAAATTGTTAAACTTTTACGACCAATTGTCCATATATACATGATATATAGGACTGCATTTAAATTGAAATACTTTAATATCTTGAAAAAAAAGCATTTTAGAAAAAAATGTTCTAGTTGTATTGTCTGCAAAAGAACAAATAATAAGATCAAACTTTGAAGAAATCGATTTTTCGAAGTCACAATATAAAGGTCACAATGATTTTTTAAAAATAGATTTCTTCATATAAAACTATTAGAATTATTAAAAGTTTACAAGATATTTTATAATTCATGTCAAAATCAATGTGCCAGAAGAAAGTATATAAACATCTCGTAAATTATTCATTTTTTTATCATTTTAATACTTTAATATACAGAACAACTATAGAAAAATCAGATTATTAGAAAAAATCAGACAATTCCTTCGATCATGAAAAATCATTTTATCATTATTTGTCCCTTTCAGACGATACAACTTCTCGTCTGGAATATTTTTTAATGCTTTTTTTTCTTTCAAGATATTCAAGTTATCTCAATTTAATGCCTCACTCTGTACATATATATTTATTCTACGAGCAGTTTAAGCGGCATATGATGCATGTTTTCTTGTCGGATTGCTTGCGTTTTAGTAAATTACTGCAATTGCACATAGAACGCATAATTTCTAGTAATTTATTAAAATGTAAACAATCCAGTAAGAAAACATCGTGTGCCGCTAACTTTACGGAACTGGACTTTGTGTATACAAAAATTTATACTGAAATATCTGTCTAACATCACTTATTGTTGTATATTTATTCTTATTGTATCTAGAGACGAACGTTGTATTTTCTCTGCTGAATGGAGAGGCATTCGATTATATAGGATCCAGTCGTATGGTGTACGACTTGAAACACAACAATTTTAACGCTCTTGGTGGAATCAATTTGAAATTCGACGATATCCTGAGTGTGATTGAGTTTGGTCAGTTGGGCCCGGGAAAGATATTTCTTCACAGTAACGGCGAAGACGATATGATAACTCGTCTGGGGAACGCGTTGAAGGCGAAGATTAAATATGGTAGTGTCCCACCTACGTCCGTGCAAAGTTTTCTGGAGGCGAAACCTAATCTAACGACCGTCGTTATAAGCAATCATGAGGAACAATTTAAGAATCGATATTATAATAGCATCTTGGATGACGCGGAGAGTCTCGGTTTTGATAAGTACATACACAACTTTTTTGTGTTCAATCTTTATATATACTTCATATTTTAACATTATTTGATTTTACATTATTGAGATTTTCTCTCGTGTATCATGTTTTAGAAACGATACTAGCACGCTTGCATCAGATTTAGCGAAAATTGCTCTTCAGGTTGCTAATGAGCTTTATCGAGAGGTGACGGGCGAGGCGCCGCAGCCTGCCGAGCTGCCAGTACCTATGGAGAAGCTTATCTCGGACATGCTAGATTGTTATTTGGAGAGCGCGAAGTGTAATCTGTTTCGTGCGGCTTCGTCGCCTAATACTAAATTGGTCGATCAGGTTTTGCCGTTGTACGTCGGGGTGCACAGAGCGCTTAACATCGCGACGACTTTGACGGGCCAGCTTTTAGCATATCTAACTGGCGAAAAGCTCTATGAGATGAACGAATCAATGTGCTATGAAAATCGACTCGCCTGGATGAGCGGTCCAAACTACACAGGCTTATGTATCAATTCAACTGTCAATTACAGTACAGCCGTGAGTCCTGCGTTTATTATCGATGGTAAGTTGCTACACCATTCACAATAGATATAAGCTCGACGTATCCAAATTGTTCTCGTTATAGGATACGATATGAAATCGGGTATCTACTCAACTTGGACAGAGTCTATATGGCAAACGTTAAGCGTTAGAATGTTTCTCAAACCAGCAGCAGCGACGGAACGCTTCAATCTGATTTTGGGTAGCTTGATCACCGGTTTCTCATTCATATTAGTATGGTTTATTAATAATAGAGCTAACGTGCTATTTAATTCGAGGTATGTATCATCTTTCTAAGGAAAAACTAAAGAGTGTATTAAAATAATATAATTAAAGTAATAATTTAAGTAAGTTAAATTAAAGTAAATTAACGAGATATTAATTTCTAAATATTGCCGAATAAACGGATAAAATCGATGTATAAGACAATTTTGAGATATCTTTCCGTGTTCTTTGTGAAATATTTTGAAGATTTTTCTTAAAGAACTCTTACAGATATCTTAAAGCTGTCTTATACGTCGATTTTAGACATTTTGCTCATTGGATAACTAAAAAAAATATTGCGAAAATTGCAAAATGGTAGAGAACTTTTCGTCTCAGTTTTTTATTAGGAATAGCACTATATGATTAGTGAGCGTTATTTCGGTTACACCCTATATAAATATATATATTTATATATAAACGTAAAATTGAAGTAATATATTTTAAAATAATTATCACACACACACATATATCAATGATACTTTCAGGAGAACCGTTGATTGCTAGGGATACGCTGCGGACCACATATCAATGACCAGGTTAGATAATCATCAAGAAGATCGAGATGTTCCAATAACTAGCCTTTAACCTTGTATGTGTGGTACGCCCTCGGAAGATTTTTACAGCCCGAAAACTATCTGGATGTCACGTTATAATTCTTAAAATTTTTATCTTATTTATCATCATTGCTTCATCCGCAGTGTTCAATTGAAAAAAATCACGGATGCATCTTTGATACTCAATGTAAAGTGAATCTTTCTTTTAGCTTCTTTTTTATAATATCTATATTATAAATTATTTATGAAGTTACATATATGAGAAAAGACATTAAACGGGTAACTCGATAAAATTAACGGTTTTGTATTGTGTACGCGTGTATATAAATGAATGTATGTGTATGTGTGTATAAGGTATAGTCGCATTAATAAGATTTTGTAAAAAATAAAAATTATATAAAAGAACGCAAGCATAGCAACTTCTTTTAATAGCAATAAAAGTTTGTTACTCATGTAACATTAAAAAATCGATCGTGAAAAAGTATATCTCTTTCTGCCCCTCTTACTCTTTTGCCAAGTTATCTTTGAAGGATAACAATATATGAATTATGAGATCTTTTTGCTATAAATATTAAATCTCGAGTGCATATTTCCCTAATAATTTTCACTTTACACACAATTATATAACTTTTCATTAAAGCAACAAAATATGAACGTGGTACAAAAACGTATCGACAATATTAAACAAATGGCATCTTACATAATTATGATAAGAATAAAAAGGGAATAATGCAAGCGTGATGGCATTTATTATCGATAAACAACTTATTTAACAGGGCACTGATGTACACGGGAAAGAATTTAATTTGTATATCTATGCTTTGTGTGTTTTTTTAGTATACATATAAGTATATAATGTGTTTCTCATTTACGACTCGAAATTTGAACAAAGTTAGAAATGGGCCGTTCTCGGAAGAAGGTTGATTCAGATTTAAGAGAGAGAGAGAGAGAGAAATGTACAGAATCTCACTGTATTCTAGATAATCAAAGGTAGAGTGTTATCAGGATATACTTAACTAGTTCAACATCTATAAATTGGACAATTTTTCCTGCGCTGCTTCTCATTTGCCACTCGATCAGGCACGCAATAAAATATGTGAAAAGAAATCACTTTTTCATCTTGAACACATGCATTGAAATAAAACCGGAGAAGTCACCCAGAATTAGAATATTATTCCAGAAATTTAATCCAGATGAATTAGAAATACGGAGATTTATAGTAAGAAGCAAGCACATAATAATGAAATTCTGTGAATAACACGTTAACTTTTGTGTCGATTTTCATACCTATGTGTAATATAATTTCTGTATTTTTTTATTATATATACATATAATTATATTATACACGAATATGTACGAGAAGCGGAATAAAAGTGATATTATTCACAGAATACAAAACGGATGTCATTTCTCGGAACAAGATTAGTTCCATAAACTTTTATAGTCCTCTGTCGAGGGTACTCTCTCTTATAATAATCTTAGAATAATCGCAAATATATTTGTTACGCTGGAAACTACACTATATAAAGTATCTGACCCATTTCTACCTTTATATATCTTTATTTTTTTTTTAATCTAAAGACCTGTTCTTTTTAGCTGAACTTCTTACACGGTTCATCTTTTCTCTTTTTTTCTCTCCAACGTGGAGAGAAAAGAAAGAAAGAACCGTGCAAGAACTTTAGCTCAAGAGAACAGACCTTAATTCTCGATAGATAATTTATTTGCATCGTTGTTAGTGCGACAGACGTTTACGTCTCCTTCCGTACAAAGTGTCCACATGCTCGCGTCGTAATAAATCTTTATATCACGGACACCCGTGTAAAAAAGGCGAGTGTCCGGTGAAAAATATGCCAGGAGCATATACGCGTCTTGTCCATGTGCATATGGATGGAAACGTTCTACGCAACGCACGTCCCGACATACGTTCAACCTCTTCGGTAATCTGTTTACGCTTTCTTTTAACTAATTTTTATTTAGTATACAAGGATGAAGTAGGAGGCTGGGCACCGCCCACCGAATTATCACAGTCGTCTGGTGCCGCAGCACATACGTATACGTGGTTCAGCCTTACAACCTACCTCTTAATCTAGCGTTATTCTACGTTTATTTATTTCTCGGATGCAGTATAGTCCCGTACAAGGTGACTTGTCAAAGCAACGATTACTAGAGTAGCGATCATACTTTTTTACATTTTAGATTGCGATTACATGTTATTGCTTTATTATAAATAGCAGAGAATAGCACAGATCTCTTTTAGTGAATGCTTTCTCTACAAGCTAGGAGACAGCAATACCAAGTAATGTTTTATATCTCATTGTTTTTACTTTTTTAATCTTCACCAGTTGTTGCAACTGATCATTAAACAAACCGATGTCGCGATACCGTGTACGGGAGCTATACTGTCAGCTGTCTGCAACTGATAATATCGTTTTACTCAAGTCATATCGCATATTCAAGTATTCCGCATGATTACGACGTTTTAATCAACGTTACGATTAGGCGATTGAGCGGAAAGTCTTGCGTACAAAAATCAATACGTCTGAGAAACAACAAAAGTAGAAGAAATTACAGAGTTTATAAGAACAGGTCGAACAAACTATTAATGGAAGCACTCTGTCAATTGGCTATATACATTGACTCAACGTAAAAATTATAAGTACAGAGGAAATGATATTTGGCTACCTAAGGCAATCATGTCGACAGACTACATTATATGACACATTCTCCTCCTATAATCGAGTGACTAGTGTCAGCTTATCGTTAACTGCGGTATCCGTGAAAACAGTAATGGCAGAACTGATATAAACTGAGAAAACGAAACGGAAATTTCACGTTCTGCAAACCTCTGTTGGTATAGCAAGATCATATCCTCCTATGAAATTGTCAACTTGGAAACAAACTAATTTACGCTACATTACTTTATGTCGGATCTAATAAGGTAAAAACGGACTTAACCATTCAAATCTCAATGGACGGATCGCGTGGAAAATGATAGCGTCGGAGAAAGCATAAATATATACGCGTATATGTGCATCAGGAAGAATAGTATGTACACGAGAATGCATCGGCGAGAACAGCCAGTTCGCGAGCGAATATCAAAAGTTTTTGTCGGACTCGCATGGGAAGCTCCAAATGAACAAGCTTCTGTCGAAGTGACGCGGTAAAGAAAATTTCTACTGGTAAAACGTAATGATCAAATGTAGACAGCCAATGCGTAAACATTAATATTCCAAAATGTCATATATATCGTTGAATATATTCAATTCTTTTTTTTTTTTTCAAGAAAAGTATTAGCTTTTCTTCAACATACTTGGTAATATTTGTTCTGTTTTGTCCGTTCCTCTCTTTTTCTGTCTTACTAACAGTTCCGCATGTAATATGTACAGTAGTATCATGTAACACGTGTAGTACACGCTTAAGGGACGACACTTAGAGTTTAAAAATATAATCATCATATATTTAAAGTAGTATTATATCATCATTGTATTATGGTTGTGTTTGCTGCTGCTGTTGCTGTTATTACTATTATTATTATATAATTATAATTATTATCATTATCGATAGCGTAATAATTATTATCATTATTAGTTTTATTATTATTATTATCATGGAGGGACAGTGTTTCGCTATGCCACGACACTGCAGAGCTGAACAAAGACTAAACGCGGAAGTTACCACGCTCTTTAATGGCACGAAAAGTACAATTAATATTGCATGCTATACTATAATTCTCCTCTAATTTGGAAATTAATTATCCATATTATCTTTTTACAAATGTGCCACGTAATATGCCTAATCGAATAGCTTACAACTTTTAATTAATGTTAGCAAAGATCGTTACCATTTTTCATACACTGTCCATATTGGCTTTATACAAGTTATCAATTATAAAGCGGATTAATGAATTTCAATCTCAAAAAAGCTTACACGTATTATAACTGTAAACAAAAAATACGCGAATATTTTGGACACAAAAATAATAATTATTGTGGTAGGAGCAGTACAAGTATTAGTAGTAATAGGTAGTAGTAATAGTAGTAATAGTTTAGTAATAGTAGTAATAGCAGTAATAATAGTAATAGTAGTAGTAGTAATAGTAGTAGTAGTAGTTTTAGCGGTAGTAGGAGCGATAACAATAGGAGTGTTAACAATAATAATATTGACAATGATAGTAGAAATAGTAGTATAGTGATAGCGATAATGGAAGGAATAGTAACAGTAATAGTGATACTATTACTAGAAGTAGCATAGTAGTAATAATATATAGTAGGAGTAATAGTAATAATATTAATGGTAATGGTAATAGTAGTATCTGGGTAACAATATTAATCGTAACAATAGCAGTAATAACATAATATTGTTGGCAAAGCTAGCAGAAAAAAATTTCATTTTGTCTATTTTGTTTTATTATACGTCTAATGAAATATCAAAGTTATATACCAAAAAGATCGACAATTAGTGTATCATATCGAAAATATACAAAAGAACAAATTTATACAGTTTCTAGAGGATACGTGCTTAAAAATGTACATTGAAAGAATAGAAAATATGAATGGCTATCATAAAAATATTTCTTTCTTCGGGAAATATTTGTTCGACAAGTCGTTATAATATAATCACGTTACACACACACACACACTCACATATATATATATATATAACGTAATTATATTTAAAACAATATATCTTTTACATACATTACATAAGATGCGTTTCTTCATTTGGCGCTTATAACACTCACGAGCATTATTTGATCTTGTTTAACATTTCATAAACAACAAAGATGAAACAATTTCATGAGCGTTGCGAGCATTAAGTGGAACGCATCCATAGGCGTCATAAATAATAGACATCATAGAGATTAAATCATCAGAAACATATGTTTGTTACAAGTAACATAACAAAAGATCGTGATTCCAAAGAAAGCTTAGATTTATCTTCACCATTTGCGCGCAGTTTACTTAAAAATTTGTCATTGAAAAATAAATAACATTTCTCAAATAACATAATACAAATGTATGTATGTTCGTTCGAGTTAGACGTACTTAAAAGTAAGCTGCTCTTTCTAGTACCTATTCAATCTCAGTTCTCGTCTCCCAGTCCATTATAACGTGTGGATAATATATGAGCCGAGATTAAAAATCTAATCAGTTGTCATAAAAAAGCAGACGGTTGGGTAGCTGATGAATATTATCAAAGTATCGAATGATCAGAGAGCGTGATAACCTCTATCCACATATTCTTAACTTTCACAAGATTAATTACGTATTTGACAGTTAAAGCGATATCTATTCCCGAATATCTTAATACTGTAATGAGCAACTGGATTTGAAGGTACCGTAAAGAGGTTGACGTTTCGGTGATCGACAGAGGTCAGTGAAGATCATCCTCATCGCTATCGTTACCGTCTTTCGATCTAGCGGCACCTCCCTCACCGTCGCTAGAACCCGAATCACTCGCCGAATCATCGGACTGCCAGCCCGCTTGCTGCTGCTGAGCCGCTTGTTGCTGCACTGCGTGTTTCGAAGTCTTGTGACGTTTTCCCGCGCGTGACGTCGCGTCAGTGCCCGCGCCATCCAACATGGGCTGTAGGATTCGTCGACGGGCGTTGATGAACCAATTGTTCACTTGTAGTAACGTTAAATTTGTTTGGCTGGCGATCTGACGCTTCTCGTCTTCGGTTGGGTAAGGATGCTGCAACAGATACGCGTTGGATTACGATTGAACGAAGCAACTGTAACTTTTTTGAAAATTATCAGCAAGTTACTCACTACTAAATGCTGAAAGAGCCACGTTCGCATGATGCTGGTTGCCTGTTTGGGTAGGACACCCCGTTTCTGACGTCCCTTTCTAGCGCTACCGTGATTATTTCTATGATTCCCAGCATGATTCGAAGCCACGTTGCTGGCACTCTCCTCCTCATCTTCGCTCGCCGCAGGGGAAGGCGAGGCTGCGACTGTAATGTCTAAACACAATTGACGTGTTCTATTACACTTATGATCCATGCGTAACGGTACAATTTGTGCATTGAGAGATGGTAACGACAAATCGTTACTATTTTTCAACCCGTATGCGTTGAAGAAAACATGTTATATTTCTAACCGAAATACTTTTTATTGTTAACATTTCTGGTATCCGCGTATTCCACATTTTTTCGCTCTTGCAACGCAACTAATCCCCAGTATCCGGCTTCTTCTAGATATATTCTGTCAGAAATTGTCTGCAAATACTCGCTACTGTCATCTATAAACGGGATTTTAAGAGATTCATCGTGCACAAGATACCGCTGCTTCAAGAAGAGACGAAGAAAAACAGAGTTTATTGAAATTTTGTAAAAAAGTTCCCTGAGAATTCCAGAATTTTTCAATTATTTTTATCTAAAATTTTAGGTAAAAAATTAGAGAATTTTTTAAAATAAAACTTTGTAATAAATTGAAGTATAAGTAACACAAATAAACTACATAATTTAGTAGAAGATGAATTCCACGAGGCTATCTTTTTCTAGGATTAATGAATTACTTTCTTCTGCTGATAATGAGTGTTATCATCTACTCCTGATTTTTTAAATAAAAACTCATGAGTCACACGAGAAGGTACTCGAATGTATATGTCATATTTATTGCTAACTGATTGTCAACATCATCAAAAAATGATTAGAGAAACAATTTTTAAGAGACAGAATATAAAAGAAAAATTCCAAAAATTTTTCTAAATATTAATAAAATTCCATAAAAATTCTCAATTTTCAAGGGTAAAAAAAATATTTCCTAAAAATTCCAGATTTTTCAAATTTTTTTTCAGATAGTAAACACATTGAAAAAAATCAAAATTTTGATGAGAGAAGAATAAAATCTTGATCAATCAGCTGATTCTGATTTGCATCGATCAACACGACTCTCGATCGACGAGAACGATTGAAAGGAATCCATTCGGTGATTCAATGGGCGCATTCAATGAACTTAACGGTTGAGTGAACGCTCGCTGATATAGGTGTATTCTTCTAGATCTAAGCTCTGATTAGAATACACCAATAACAATGAGCACTTGCTTACTCAACTGTTGCTTTGCTGAATGCATCCATTGATATCGCGGCAGCTCTCGTGATTTAGACTCACCTTGGCCGAGATACATGTCGTTAACCGGGGCGCATGGATGCGCCCCGATTTGCGAGAGAGGCGTGCTTCCATGTATAGTGGACGGTGAGAGCGGATCGTCGAGGTCCTGGCTAGTGGATTTGCCCGAGCGCTGGATGGCGGAAGACGGTCGGACCGACGAAAGTGGATCGTGATTAACGCTCTCTTCCCGCGTGTGCGAATTCGCGCCATCGTTCTCCGCCACGGCGTCCCCACGGCTCACTCTGAATCCGTTAGCTCCCGACTCAACATCATTGCCTGTAGATGACAGCACCTGGCAAATATATGTCTCAACTAGCCGTCAGAGAGCAGGGATGGGAAATTCAGTAATATCTCAAGAGATGTACGCATACATTCGTACACGGTGATGTAATACATATATTATCGCTTCGATTGATTCAACGGTAATATATATATTACAGATCGCAATGCATAAACGGTAATGACAATAACGATGTCGCGGGATTCTTCGCGTACATCCCTTCTACTACGGGAATATCTACGTTGGTAAGGGGGATAGACCGGACAGACGGGGGAGCCTAGCTTCATCGTAGTATATCGGGCAAACGTCTAACCTGCAACGGACTGCTGCCGTTGCTTCCACTCGACGGACCCATGTCGTGACTGTGGTGGCTGTAGTCGCTGCGTAACAGATTCTCGCTCTGCATCTTGCCCTTCAGACACGTGATGTACCTGTTGCAGAAGTCCTTGCACAACTCTTGCACCTTCTCCAGCTCCAGTAGGTGAATACGTAGCACCTGTATCGCTTTGATCATCTGCAAAAAACATATCTCCATGGAAACGCGCTTAAACGCTTCATTCAACCGATCGTCATTTCTCGTCGTTTGCCTCATTCATTTGTTCCCCATCTTGACTTTGCACGCGTCGGAGTCACGTGGGGAAACGAAAGGAAGAACGAGCGAAAAGTTTATAAAAAGAAGTCTAATAAGTATGAAGAAAAGTCTAATGGATATGCTCCCTTTTTACTGACAACCATCATGCTTAATAGCATTAGAGATTTTGAACAAAAGCAGCAGCGATAGTTCCTCCAAAGAACTTATTTTCTAGATCTAATAACTATTTTTTACGCTCGTTTTTCCAACGTTGTATTGCACTGTAACTGCCTCGCCTCGAGAGCTGCAGTAGTCGCAGTAGCAATATGGCTGCCATTTATGGCATTTATGACGTCATTGATGGAACTAGATGCTATCGCAGTAAACTGCATAACGGAACAATTTTTCTGTATTACCAGTATCGACAATATATATCGGAACACAGCTAATGACATATATCATGTCTAGAATCTAGGCCAATGACGTATACATATACTAAAGCCTTGTGTCCACAATGCTAGAAATCCGAGATTTTGAATGGAGAAAAAATTGACCAATCACATTGATCAATTGGCCAAATTGTTCATATGTGTGATCTGTCAATTCTTTCTCCATACGAAATTTCGGAACGATTTTCAGCATCGTGGACACAAGGCTTCAGATCAAGTATTTGGGATTCTACATAGGAGATTGAGGATTGCGAATTGGAAATTAGAATTCAACCAATCAGAATGAAACGGATTAAAATTAAAATTATTTGATTGATAGAGAATTCAAATCTTCAACTAGCAATCCTCAATTTCTAATTCTGATACGGATTTATCTGCTAACAGAATATAATACCACATTGACTACAGAAACTGAGCACACTGCTATTTCATAATCATTTAAAGTTATTCTTTTTAAGTTTATGAAATGAAAGATTTTGCTTGGTTTCTGCCAACAATCTACTGTCAGATTATGTCGACAAGTTTTGCCAACAAAACATGAGTTTAATGCGGACGCAGACGATACCGAATCTATTGAAATATCTGAGCAAATCTATTGTCAATCTGTTGTTATACTGCAAGCAATTTGTTTACTGAGATGTACGTCATTGAGAGATTCGTCTTAATAAAAAGTTTGTCTTACCAAACCGTCAATCTCGGGGTCATTGATCAGGAAAGGCTTTCGGTCTCTTTCTTGGTGCTGGACAAAAGCCTGTATGTCCATGTTGAAGCTTTCGGACGTGGAGTTGTCCGAGCTCTGGGTCGCTTGTTCGCATCTTTCGAAGAGTAACGCCAGCAGCGGGAAAAAACGGCCCTCTTGTCGGCTTCGAACTGGGCCTGATCCTGATGAGTCGTATAATCGGCGACCCCACTCGCAGGGTCCTGATCGTATCCGGGGGTCACCATCGCTAGCGCAACGGCCGTATTACCCTCTTGCATCCTGCCACAAACACATCACGTATTCGTCATCCAATTCACGGATTATCTTCTGAATCACAATTTATGATAAAATACACTTTAGCTTTTTGCTCCAAGTTCTAAGTTGTGATGTTAATTTGTTTTAAACTTTAAACTTTTACACTGGTTCTACAATAAATCGGTAGCCTGTAGTCGGTGAGTTGGGATTGGTCGAAATCGATGAATCGGTAGGGTTGGCCAGTAGCCAACTTCTAAAATTACCGACTCATTGTAGAACCAACGTTACAGTTGAAATCTGACCAACTTAGTCTCGAAACACATAGGTGTAGTAAACCTCAAACATTAAAAAATTGATCGATCATAATCGATTATTCTTCTTACATTCGACTGTGATAGGTCATTTCTTACGGTTTAAGGCTTAAAACTTAAGTTTTACGCCTTAAAATTTCATTATAGACGCCGTTTAAGATTTTCTTGACGTCGCTTCATAGATTGAAAGTTAAAGGGAGTTTTTCTTACCTATCATTCCCCCTTGGCAATTCCCATTCTCATCTGGATTCCCCGTGACTCCGTTCCCTTTGCGCCTAAGGTTCGATTGTTCGTTCAAGGCGCTCGTTAAATTGTTCGATTGAAGGATGCTTTAAGAAGAAACAAAATCATGATGAGAATTATATCGACTGCTTTCTTTTAGGAAACACAAATCGACACAAATTAACACACTCGAACACAGTTTGCCATAGTTAAATGAAACATCATATATAATGTATGCGAATTGTTAATACCTTACTTTACAAAATTATAATTAGTTCAAAATTTCTCAAACAGAGTTTTCTAATGTATGCACTGAAAAAAAAATATAGTCAATTTTAATAAATATTTAGTTCAATACGGCCAACTAAACATTTACTTACAGTAAATAAATATTTGTTCAGTAAAAAGAATGATTAATGTTTCTTGTATCAAATAAATATATCTTTATATTTAATAAATATTTAGTTGGCAGTATTGAACTAAATATTTGTTAAAATTGACTATATTTTTTTTCAGTGTGTATATTATATTGCGGATGCATTTTAATATCGGTCAAAATCACATTTGAACACACTCCGACTTTCCTCCCGAATAGAGTCGAAAAGTGTCGACTGCGTTTGAACAAAAATTGTAAATGGAAAGCGACGTGTGTCGATTTGCGTCAAAAATGTCGACTGTGTTTCCTAAAAGGAAAGCAAGCATCATCTCGTCAAGAGGTTAATTCCTACTTGCGATCGCTCCGCGAAATTCGAAAGGGATAAAAAGAGAAAGAAAGGGTATCCGCGAGGAAGTGAAAAATCGATAAAGAGAGAAAAACAAGAAAAAGAGAAACGAAGAAAAACGTCGCATCCCGCCGCGCCACGCCGCGTGAACAATCGAACGATGCGGCACCGCATTTAAATGTCATCATTAGACAGCATTGGCGCCATCGGCGCCCGGGGCTCCCATCGATTTCGGAACGGCGTATCTTCCGGGACGCGGGGTTAAATAGCGCCCCACTGGAGGAAAGAAAAAAGAAAGACAATAAAGATAATCCGGAAAAAAACGCACGCGTGTAAAATATCCTAACGTGTAAAATATTCCAGGCCAGTTCCCTCGAGAACTGGCAGCAAGTGGCAAAGGATAAAAAATCGCGACACGAGGTCGTCTTACGTAAAGGTGACGAGTGCTTTTCTTTCCTCCTGTTTTTCTCTCCAAGCGAGAACGTCGTACGTCAATACGCGTCAATAGTACGTCGATTCAAATCTACTCTCATCGGCGATTAATTTAACGCTATCATCAATAATGTGAGAGAAAAGCTGCTGATATACGTATATGATGATTAGGATTGTAGGAAACTCTCGGGAAAGAGATGATTGTCGCAGAGTCGAAGCCCAGAGCGAATGAGCGCGTTCAGCGGACTCAACAGTTAAGTGAGCATTCGCTGCCATTAATGTATTCTTTTAAATCTGAACGTTTGATCGGATGAGCTAGAAGAGATGATTTAGAAGAATACACCAATAACAGCGCTTACTGAATTGTTGAAATGTCCGCTGAATGCACCCAGTGGCTGCGTTTAGCAGTGGAAACTCCATGAGCAATCATTGTCAGTGATTCTTTAATATGATTGATTCCTACAGTTAGATCCAGTGAAGAACTAAAAGCAAGAACCAATTATATTAAAGAATCACTGAACGCTTACTGATGAGTTTTCCTTACTGAATGCAGCCAATGGACGTGGCTGCGTTTAGCAGAAAAAGCAGCTTTGCAATTGTTGTAAGATTCTTTATTATTGATCTTGTTCTTGGTTTCTCATTGAATCTAAATGTATAACAGGCTTTCTACAATAAGTCATTAGTTTATAAATTCACAACCTTGCTTTAAGAGGCCGTAATGCTGATTCTACAATGAGTACAGAGTCGGAAGTCTTAGTTTTAATCGGTGAAGTTGGCCGATCAGCGTTAGTCGTACAAGTTGGTTATTGGTCAACTTCACTGATAAGACTTAGGACTACCAACTACCGACTCATCGTAGAATCAACGTTAGTCTTAATCGGTGAAGTTGGCTAATCAGTGTTAGTCGTACAAGTTAGCTATTAGTCAACTTCACCGATAAGATTTAGGACAAGCGACTTACCGACTCATTGTAGAATTAACATAAGCCATAAATCGAAAGAGAAATGACGTTAATTCCTATTTCTAAACTGTTCTCGCGCAGTTTTTAAACTTCAATCGTTAGATTCGTAAGCGAATTGAGAAAAATCTAATTTTTACGGCCTAAAAGCAAGGTTGTGAATCTAGATTTCAGCTAGAAACATGTAAAAAAAGTAAGACAAAAAAATTAACCAGTAAGCGAATCAGTCAATCACACAGTGGAGAACGTAAAATAGTTCTCTACTATGATCGGCCGATTAGCTTACTATGTTCCTAGCTTCATCTAAGCTTTAAGTCTTAAGGCCATGGCACACCTTTCGTAACCATAAGACGTACCGTAAGAATCAGCCAATTAAAATTAAGAGTTCAAAAGAATTCTCAACTATGATTGGCTGATTTTTACGGTACGTCTTATGGTTACTGTTACGGAAGGTGTGTGCCATGGCTTTTAAGATCATAGCACACAAAAAACTAAGCAGTCGTAAGTAATAAGATCAACGTGTTGGATTGGCTATTGTTTATTATGGCCTTACAGTCTTTACTGTGATTGGCCAATTCGCTTACTTCTTACGTTTTATTGCTTAAGTTTTTTGTGTGCCATGATCCTTAAGCCCTAAGAAATTTACCAATCATAGACTATGTTTACAAGGTTACCCTTAATCGCCTTTAATAACATCCATAGTTAGAAACTAACCAATCATAGTTATTCCATTCTTCAGAGAAATTGCTATGATTGGTCAGTTTCATAATTACAGATGTTATTAAACCCGATTAAGAATGCCGTGTAAATGTAATCATCATAGTCATTCCATTCTTCAGAGAAATTGCTATGATTGGTCAGTTTCATAACTATAGATATTATTAAACCCGATTAAGGATGCCGTGTAAATGTAGTCATAGTCATCGATCATTCTCCTCACGTTCGATTATGATCGGTTTTTGCTTTCAGCTTAGATAATTGCTCATTTCATCATATTAAGGAATTCTACAATAATTGTAAAACGTTATTTCTGCAGCTACCCTGCGAACGTTCCCTCGGCACGTGGGTTCTCCGCTTGGAAAACAACAGGGGACCGACCACTTGTTTACTGCCTGTCAATCATCGGGTTGAGCCTAACCTGCGCGACTCACTCGCTCTCGCACGCCGTCGCGCAGAAAAGCGACCGCTGTTAAAACACGCCCTTCAAACGTTACACTTTACACGACAGGCGGACCGCGCCTCCTCCTCCTCCCTCTCCTCTTCCTACACCCTTCCTCCCAAACGCGCACTACTTTTCCCGATTTGTCATCGCTCGTTTGATAAAATCGAAAGGTGATCATCACCGCGCACCAACGAGAATGATTAAAGACGAGATACGCGGTCGAGCATTGTCGTGGTGTTTCTCCAAAAAAAGAAGCTCTACTAAAGATCATATATAAGAGTCTGGCCATGAACAGTTTTGTCAAGACAAGAGTAAAGCCTAAAGTCTTATGGGCTTTTTATAATAAGTTATTACCTAAGTTTTAAGTCCAAAGCCATAAACATGACTAATTACAGTCGAATATGAGAAAAATAATCAACTATAATTGATTTCTCATGGCTTAAGGACCATGGCATACAAAAAACTTAAGCAGTAGAACATAAGCAGTAAACGAAAATTGACCAATCATAGTAGAGATCGTAAGACCATAGCAGTAGCAAATCCAACACGTTGTCTAGGTCCACAACCTTATTTTAAGAGGCCCTAAGCTGTAGAACCATAAGAAATTGATCAATCACAGTCGATTAATTTTTCTCATATTCGAATGTGAGAAGAATAATTGACTGTGATCGATCAATTTCTTATTCTTACTTCTTAAACCAAGCTTACTTCGCATATTGTAGACGACGCCTAAGACTCAAGAGAGCTTAGATAATGGCTTATTGTAGAAAGCCCATTAAGTATAATAAAAGGCACAGGTAATAGGAACAGAGAATAAAAGTACTGAAACATACAACATGTATAGTAAGCCTTAAACTGTAAAAAATCAAATAATCATAATTGATTATTCTCTTCATATTCGACCGATTGGCCTCTTAATGGCTTAAAGGGCCATGGCACACAAAAAACTTAAGGCAGCAAGACATAAACAGTAAGGAAATCAACATGTTGGATTGGCTACTACATTTGGCGATTATGACCTTACGAATTCTACTGTGATTAGTCAATACGCTTACTGTTTACGTTTTACTTCTGAAGTTTTTTTGTATGCCATGACCTTAATGCGTGGTCTACAATGGGCAGTAGCAGTAATGGATTAAGGAGTAAGCATAGAAATCAATCAATCATAGTCGAATGTGAGGACAATCAACTAGACTATGCATAAGAGATTTCAACCTATCAGAAACCGTATGCTTATGATAAACATAATTCTTATAGGTTAAAATCTATTATATTCCCTGTTCTATTACCAAAACACAATAGGTGTAGTAAGCTTTAAGCCATAAAAAAATCAATCATAGTCGATTATTCTTCTCACATTTGACTGATTGGCCTTAGGGTTTAAACCTTTACTATTCGTATTGTATTTCAGGACTTATTTATGACTGAGAAAAAAACGCGGTATTAGCTTACTCATTTTAGCTTACTGAAGTTGACAAAAAGAACGGCTAATCAAAAGTTTGTCATCTTGTGGCCAAAGGAAATGTCATCAGCTGATCATCAGATCCTAGTATCCCATCTCGTTTCCGAACTTTAAATAAAATATTATTGGTCTCGTAGATATCACGCTTGTTTACGTCGAGCGTCTATTTTTCTCCCACCCAAGAAAGCTGCGCGCTTTCGCGGAGGACCCGCGAAACGGCCCACCTTTTCCGTACAAAAATGTCGGACGACAATCGAAGGGTAATTATCGACTCCGATTAGACACGTTTGCCGAAAGATTTAAAAGTGATTCTTATTCCTTCTATTTCCTTGTGACGCGCGATGCGAAATCCCACACGAAGTCACGCACGCATTGGAAATTGAGGACTGTAAGTTAAAGACAGAATTCAACCAATCAGAAGGAAACGGATTAAAATTAAAGTTATCCGACAGGTGGAATTCTAATTTTAATTCGTAAATTCACAGTTTCCAATACGTTGTGTGTGACGAGGTTTTAACTCACACGCGAGATGATTGAGAAACATGCGATATTCGTCGTAATCGTGACAACGCTAACTTCAAACGATCGAGAGAGCTCGAAGGGCGACGATAACGACGGCGACGTCGCTCGTCCACGACTCGCTTGCGCGAGTCGACGAGAGCGTGACCCTCGCGACTCGATTCACCGTCGCGAACGCGCGCGCAAGCCGACCTTGTCCCAGCGAGAAAAATGGGCGTTCACGCGGCGCACGTACACGATCGTCGCTCTAGAAACGAACTCCGGCCGAACCTAACCTCGCGGTGGCGGCAGCTGCCGCGTGGAAGCGCCGAGCAATCCGACAACCGTTCCAACAGTTGCCGATCGCGAACGCGTGGATCGGTTCGTGTATCTTCGCAGCTCTTACCGTGATTCCGCGGTAGGGTCGATCCACCTAGAAGCGGCACGCAACACCACCGTTGCGCGATACGTCTCGTTCGTTTTGTTTTCACGCAACTACGCAGCGCGATCGAACCGTCATAGCCGTGACGAGCGGAGCAACGGGCATCGACGAAGGGTGAGGGCCCCGTGTTTCGCCCGTGTGCACGTGCCGGGGGGAAGGACGCACACACTTTTGTCGTTCGTTTTCCAGAGAGGGGAACCGCCACTCGCCAATAGTCGACCAGAGCCGGTTTTACGCACTAGCGCCGGTGGCACACTACGTTCACGAGCATTCACCGAGTACCGTTCGCCGCACGCTCACGTAGATGATAAGTTCCGGTAGCCGGACATTTTTTCGCACAAACGCGACCGTCCACCCCGTTTACTCCTTCCACTGGTCTGTCTTTTGTGACGTCACCGATTCAATACTTTTCGCGAAGGTTTCTCGCCGTGATGGCGCCGTTGGAGTACGTCATCCATCCGACAGATGGCGCCACGCGAGCTGTTTCTGTAGCGGTTCGAATTGGACAAAACGTAAAGTTTGCGTCACCCGCGACCAATGGAGTAACAAGCTCTAGAAGGATCGAACCCTGAAATAGGTATAGAGGTTTGTCGCGTCGCATGCTCCGACATGTTCCAATATGCTCCTACTCACTCCAACGCGCTTGATAGAGTGAGTAGGAGCTATGATAGGAGCACGTTGGAGCATGTTGGAGCTTGTGACGCGATAAACCTTATATATACTGTCTGTTTACTTGATCTTGATCAATTTTTCCGTTGAAAATGACAAAGTTTGTACGCGTCGATGTATTCTTTTGTATCTTTATAAGAAAATTGATATTTGAACGAACATCAGAGGTCCTCTACGTTTATTGAATTCGTTGCGTGACGGTTCGCCACATTTCTATTGTAATCTTATTGTATAATATCGAATCGAATATTGTATTATATCCCAGAGCTTTGATTGGGGGGACGGCTCGTTATTTCTTGTTGCCTGTGCCTATTATCTGTGCCCATTGTGTTTAAGTCCGGATCTACAATAGGTGTTTTAAGCCTTAAGCCATAAAAAATGGACGAATCATAGTAGATTATTCTCCTCGAATTCGACTGTAATTGATCAATTTCTTACGATTTAGTTCGGATCTACGATACCTGGATCGTCCATTTCTTATGGCTTAAGGCTTAAAACACTTATTGTAGATTCGGGGTAATCGGATTTAATAACATCCATAGTCATGAAATTGGCCAATCATAGCTGTTCCTCAAAAGAATGGAGCGACTGTGATTGGCTAGTTTCATAACTACGGATGTTATTAAACCCGATTAAGGCCCGGTTTTTTATTATCTGGTTAATTTATGTTTAAGCTTAACCTGATGTTTCACCCAATGGGCTTCATCCATGACATCATCACAGATGAAGCCCATTGGATAAAACATCAGGTTAAGTCTAACCACAAGTTAACCAGGTAATGAAAAACCGGGCCTAAGGGTGCCGTGTAAATGTAGTCATTGACCAATTACAGTCGAATGCGAGGAGATAATTGATTGTGATTCGTTCATACCTTATGACTTAAGGCTTAAAGATCTATTGTAAATCCGGGTTTAGTTCGGATCTGCAATAGATGATTTAGCCTTAAGCTGTAAGAAATTAACCAATTACAGTCGAATGCGAGGAGAATAATCGACTGTGATTCGTCCATTTTTTATGGCTTAAGGTTTAAAAACCTATTGTAGATCCGGGTCCGTATTCAGAACGCGCTTTTATCTCCGAATTTCTATAATATGCCTAACGTAAAATGTTGTAAAATATAATCATGTTAAGCCCATTCTACAATTGCGTAAACGTAGATATAAGTGGTCGTAGTTGTAAGAATTGACTATAATCATAATAGAATATTTTCCTCCTATTTGACTGTGATTGGTTAATTCTTACAACTACAATTACTTACAACTACGCTTACGCAATTGTAGAATAGGCTTTAATTTTAGGGTATAATTTTGGATAGTTATTGGGTAATTTTCTTTATGCGTACGTTTATGCGGCTATACAAGTTTGTGTATATACCCTAAGAAATTGATCAATTATAGTCGAATGTGAGAAGAATAATTGACTCGTTCATTTCTTGATCGGTATTCGCAGTCCGTTCTTATTTCAAGATCATCTTAAGTAATGTCTTAAGATGCTGATACGGCCTTCCGATTGGTTCGTAACATCTTAAGACTGTACTTAAGACGGTCTTAAATATAAGAATCGACTATGAATACCACCCTTATGGTTTCAGGCTTAAAACCTAAACCGGAATCCATAGTCCGTTCTTAATCTCAAGCAATGTCTTAAGATGCTAATACGGCTCTTTGGCCTTTGATTGGTTCATGCACTAGCACTTAAGACCATCTCGAATCTTGAGCAACGTCTATGGATTCCGCCCCTATTGTAGATCCGTCGACTTATCAACCAACGGAAAAACAGTCACCTATCACGTGATCTATCATATGCCCGACAATAGCCAATCAATTTATCGCTTTTTACAGTTTTACGGTTAGAACGTTACTAATTATCTCTCTCACAAGGGTAGAATGGCAAAGAATTTTTTGTAAAAAATTTTTTCCCAATAATGGCGGCTGTTTTTTCTTTATTATAACAAATATGTTCAATAACAACAATTGTTAGATTTCTTGTTTATCAACATATATAAAATCACTGATTTGAATTGTATATATGATAAGCATTCCTGACACGATAACGTCAAAATGACATGAATCGGAAATGAATATAAAATGACTTTTAATGATCATTTTAGAGTTATTTTGACATCATTTTAATATCATACTCCTACAGCACAAAGTTACATAAAAGTTGCAGCAACACTGCTGCAACATTGCAGCAACATTACATGTTTATTGCAGATATCTGTACTGTATAGGTAATGAATTGTTAATTGTCCTGCTTGAATTAATATGTACAATTTATTGGAGGAACTGTCAAACATTTCATTTTTAATATAGATATACTAAACTTGTTAAAATCAATTTGTTGATCGTCGCCATATAACTGTTTAAGTATCCATATAAATTCGAATCAATAGATATCTGCTATATATTTATTGTTATGGAAGGAATCCATTGTGGATGACACAATATCTGTATTGCATAATTTAATATGCATTAAAATGTAGCAAATTATCTTCAGACAAAATATTTAGAAGTACAACTGGTGCAAGATATAATAGAAATTTCCACAATTTTGTTGCTTTCCATCGATCCATTTCATTCAGAGAGAGTGCAGTTTTCGAACAATCTCTTTCGGTACCCACTTCGCCGTGATATTTTAATTAAATTTTTCGACAACTTTGCTATGTTTCATCAACTTTATCTTGATGTTTTGTGTCCACTTGGTCGCAATTGCAACAAAATTTTTTCATAGACACACTAATTAGTGCATATAATCCAAATAAGGAAACCGTGAAACCATTGGCACTTATATTGGTTTGAAAGGAGATACACCAGTATGATGATTTTCTTTGTTTATTTTTTCTACTGTTAAAATTTTTATCAGAGTTCGAAGAGGTGCTTAAGATATCATGAACCAATCAGAGAGCTGTATTAGCATCTTAAAACGTTTTACTTATGAAACAGTCTTGAGATTAAGAACGGACTTGCATACCGGCTTCGGTATTGTTTATGCAAATAAAAAAGAATTCGAAGTCTGCTAAATATTTATATCTACTATTCATATGAACTATTATATAAAACTTTTATATTAAGCAAACTTTTACCTCAAGTGATAAGAATAAGTGAATTTTTAAATCTTTTTTTTACTTTTTATGAAATCGATATACTCCGACTTAAATTTATGCTTGTACATATTTTAATTTTGTAAAAAAAATTTTGCAATTTGTAAAACCAATTCAAAGATTTTGGTTGCACTATAATTCGTGATAATTATAGTGTCGCTTTAGTGTCCCTTTAACTGCGCAATGTAAAAACAATTAATTAAAATTGGACTGCAGTCAAATCTTTTCAATTACAGGCGAGTTTTTTAATTCAATCAATCCTATGCGCAAATGTAACTTTCTTGGAATAAAGTTGCGTATAATGCGACTAATCGATCGAAGTAAAAAACTCGTCTTGCATTTCTATAATAAAGTCTTATTACAAAAGGTGCGTTCCGTTTAATGCTTACAGCGCTTAACGTAAGCATCATTTATCCTTGTTTGACAGACAGCAAGAATGAACTAATGTTTACAGCGTAAAAGTGAAACGCATCCAAAATGCAAACGATTTATAGAAAATTGTAGAATTAAAAATCATTAATTATCGGTTAAATTCATGCGGAATGTTTTGATCAACTCTAATTCTGATCGCTCAGATAACACAGAATATTTATGATAAATATATGTAAATATTTCTAGTATAAAGTTTATAAAATGTTTGCTGGAAAAGTCATCTATTTTTTTCATAGAGTGCAAACTAGCATCCAACTGTATGTACATACTAATAAAGCGAATGCTATTTTGCAACTGTGTGTTGCAAGTTTTCTAAAATAGATATTTTAAAGTCATTTATAAAAGAAATATATTTTATCTATCGTGTCCCATTTTTTGACATCTATATTGATCAGATATGTCATAGCCATACATTAACATTCAGTGTTCATGGATCATCAAAGTAGTTTCTGTACAATGCAAGCAGCGTTGAATATGAATATGGTGCAAATTTAGAATGGGTGTGACCGAAGGATAATTAATAAAAATTAATTTCCGAAACAATTTTTTATCATATTTTGTCATGTGTATTGAAATATAATGCTAATCAATAATATTTATTTTAGCAAATAAAACGATTAATTTTCACCGAGATATAATGTTTATTAAATACTAATATTTTCATAATATTTATACTAAATCTTTATGATCTGTGCAATTTAAGACTATAAAAATATTTACAAAATATATTTTGATAAATATTTTGTAAATATTTTATAAATATTGTGTGCTGTTTGAGGGTGATTAGCTATAAATGGATGATCACTTGAAAAATTTGTGCTCACTAATATTAGTGCTATTATTTACAAAATGATACGCGCACATTTTATGTATCGAGATTCTTCATTTTTATTGTGAGATTTCTCATGACACGCAATAATGCGCTGGAACGTTGTGTCTGCCGAATGTAGCTATTTAAATCCAGGCTTAAAAGATTCTCGAGTGAATCGCCTAGTAATTTAACGGGATTATTAACTATCATATTTCTTAACATTTTCTCATTTAGCTCGTCTCGAACGATGAGTAATTGCGACTGATGTTATCTTATCGCTATGTTATCATGCACGCAACGTCAGATACAGTCAGATCGTATTTTCTAGCCGCGAAGCAACTTAGAAAATCGC